GAGAACGTGCAAACTCCACACAGAAGAGAACGTGCAAACTCCACACAAACGAGAACGTGCAAACTCCACACAGAAGGGCCTGAGTCGGCCGACGGGTCATGATCAATGATGGATCTTGGAGTAAAAAAAATCGAACCAATAATTATAAACATCTTTTCAGAGATACAATTCTAGAACTAAAATGATTAATAGATTAACTATAACTTCTCAAATGTAGGGATTTGATTTGTAAATTGAATATATTTAGGTCTTTGTCTGTTGACTGGACTAAACAACTAATCTATTATGCTTGTAAGATAAAAACAGCTACCATCTAAAATTCATATTAGCTGCAGTGACAACGCAGGAAAAGATGGCGACTAATTTGTTTCTGTTCATTCCATTTCTGTCAGCACAAGCAGCATGACGCCTGCTGCCTCCCACACCAATAACATCACAACACATCGTTAAGTGACAGTTCCATTCGCTGTTTGCTTCTCTGCGATCATTTAGGAGATCATCTCATCGCAGCAGCTTCAGATCAGAGTGCCTGCAGAGCCGCAGCATGGGGCTTTGTTTCCCCTCTCCATCAGCGTCAGATCGTTCGTCATCATTAAACAGGAGCTGGTTTCCTGCTACCCAATGGCAGCCGCCTCAGTCAGAGGGGAAGACTCTGCCGCGACCGACATGACCAACACTCCAATTAGAGGTGACCCCTGATAATGGCTCAGCAACCGCCGTTTAAACTTCGCCACCCTCTCAACAAGAAAAGCATCAATTTTCATGAAGCTCCAATAATCCCCTCCAATTCTCTTAAACCTTTCAAACGGTAAATAATTGAGCCTTGTACTCAGCCGGTCTTATCTCTGAGGGGTGTTGCTCCCATGAAGTGGCTGTTTGCACTCACACTGTCTTAAAAACCAATGGACAGACTACACACACACACACACACACACACACACACATACCCGCCATCCTCCACCCCTTGCTCTATTCATTTCTTCCTCTTCCTTCCTTCCTACACACACACACACAAGTCACCCCAGGGGGCCTGCCACTTCCCCACTTTCATTAAATCATAAACTGCGGGCCAATGGGGGCCCTTCTTCATCATTAATCCAGATTAAACAAATCTCCAGTTCTGTCACACACACAGATAGTTATTTAATGCTGCATAGTGTTACTCAACATAAGTCATCATTAACTGACATTTTGTTCATCCGATATTGGGACATCTTTTTTAAATATGGTTTTCAGAATTTGTTCTTTTCAACCATTTTCTCATAAATGTATTTACTTATTTATTAATTGTTTATGTAGCAGAGGACAATACACAATACATATATTGTACCAAAAAGCTAATTTACATCTGAAGGCCCTGGGCAGCAGAGGCCAAAATTGCTGCGCAGGTGACAGAGATTAAAGACAGGTTGAATTAAAACGTTACACTTACTAAAAAGCAGACTTATAAAAACACCAATCGAAAAACTGATCCATCTGACATTTGACCAAACCCAGCTGTCCCTGCCGTCTCCCCACATTTTCCTCCACGCATGGCTCAATGCCAAGAGACTCTTTTTTTTTTTTAAATGAGAAATGCATACTGTGGGAGAGATGGCTGTAGTTGACTGCTAAACTTAATGTATTTCCAGGCTGAAGCAGAGTGCTGCAAGGTCTTTTGGAGTTTACTTTTCACAGGAAACTCGTATGTGATAACGGAGATAGATCGATGGGCCTCATGACCGTGTGTGGCCCAACAAAACTGTTCAGTCACATAATTGCAAGAAATATACCATCTATGGATAAATCTAAACCCAGAACTCTACGCGATATACAGCAGCAGTGTGCAGCAGACAATTATTAACTTGAAAAGGTCATGGTAGGATTTATTGTCCTTACACAGTACTCCAAGGGTCAGCACTTTTTCAGCATAATTCAATGAGAGCACTAACATAGCTTTACAGGCGCAGTGGAGATTACATCAGCCCTATGTGTTTTTTTCTTCTTCTTAGAGTCTTTCATTTTGTAGTATCTTATTTCTCATAAGAATTTAAAGTGGTGGTGACTCTTAGTATTGTGTGCGATAAGACCATGAATGTCTGATGTGGCAAGTATTGCAGAAAAATAAGAATGCAAATAAACAATGTGCTTATGTGATATTTTACTTCCCTACGACCGATAAACAATATCACCTTCTACTGCACACCAGGGCCCCGTTCCTCGTACGTGGCTAACTGAGTTAGCCGGATCATTTTCAGGATAAGATTGCATAAATCAGGCTTTTCAGTTCCACGAAGCAAGTTTGGCAAAATCAGCAACACATACATAAGCTTGAACCTGCTCCAGCGCAGGCTAACTGAAGTTAGCTGGATAAGCTTGCCGCCACTCCGGGGAAAAAAATGTACTGTTCCCTTCCTCAGAGATCCCATTG